GGCAGCATTTAGAGGAAGAGGAAGATGGTGGGGTAAGAGGAGAGCACCATTACCCAGCTGCACAACACAGCCAGAGCTGTTTGCTGGGTTTCCAGCTGCACAACGCAACCAGAGCTGTTTGCTGGGTTTCCAGCTGCACAACGCAACCAGAGCTGTTTGCTGGGTTTCCTCCAAGTAGAGGCTGTGTTCACACAGCACTGACAGGAGTAGAGGTGACATCCTTATTCCCAACCAAGGATTCTGCTTTGGACAGAGAAACCCTTGGTGGCTTCCTTGGTCCCCAGAACCCCTCTGTTTTGGCTCCGGGAGAGCCACTAAACTCAGAGTCTCCGGCCCCCTGGCACTGGCCCGGAGGAGGAGATGGCCAGGGTGTGAGCTCTTCCCCCCACCTCTGTCACTCCCACCAGTTCTTTCCCATTGGGTCTGAGATCTGTCTTTGGCTAATTTGGGGGTATGATAGACTCATTTCCCAGGATTCTTTTTTTTGTATGATGTCTAATTGCTTCAGCTGCGTTTGCTGAAAAGCTCATCCACTCCCCCACCGTTCTGCAGTGTCACCTTTGTCATAAATCAAGTGACTTCAGAGGAGTGGTCTATTTCTGGATTCTCTCTTCTGTTCCAGGGACTATTTATCAATCCTAGAGCACACTGCACACTCTCCTAATTATCATAGCTTTACGATAAATCTTGATACCTATTTATCATAGCCCTCCAACTTTGTTCTTTAAGATTATTTTGGCTCTTCCTGGTTCTCCATATCTCTCTTTACATTTTGGAATTCTGTTTGTCAGTTGATACCAGGAGAAACCAAGAAACTAAATCTACAGCTGAATTTGGGTATAGTTGACATCTTTGTAATGTGGAGCCTTCTGTGAACACCATTTCACTTCTTGTGTTTTTTGATGTAGAGACCTTCCATAGTTTCCATTGGACTTCTTCCTAGGAGTTCCATCATGTTCATCTAAAATGGCACACGGAACCTTTCCATTCCATTATATACTTGTTGGTTACTGATTCATAAAAATTTGACTGATTGGACTTTACCCCCTCAATCTTGACCTTGGATTAAGGGATATTCTGAGGAGGGGGTAAGTATCAGCTCTGCCAAAGCTCCATGGTGCATTTCTGCACCCCTAAAGACTTCCAGAGTTCAGGAAGAGTCAGATGCAATAGTCAGCTCGGCTAATGCAGGGTTGGAAGGGTCGACCACGAGGCCAGGAGGACGAAACTGCTCAGCCAAGACTGACTGAGAGGGAGGAGGTGCAGTTCTAGCATACACCAGGGGAGGTACACCATGGAGATGTGTGAGGACCCCAGAAATGATGCTAAGATGAAAGGGGCCTGGCATCCCTTAGAGAAGTGGTTACCTGCCAGTGCAGTGTCTGGAAGGCACTGAACTTCGAGGCAAGGATACAGACGGGGGTAGCACACAGGCAGATCAGCCTGTTTGTTGGGTATTCACTAACTTCCAGCTTCCTATGCAAGCCCTGGCACCTGCCTTGAATTAACCCCTTGCACGGTAGATGAAGGCTAAGATCATTTTGGTAACTTGGTCAAAGTCTCTCCAGGCTAGCAAGAGATTCTCCACAAACCATCTGCAATTCAAACGGGTACCCTTCAACCCGAAGGCCTTGTCTCCACAGGATCTCGTACATGTGGGCCTTGCACTCCACATCTATGGACAGATGGGAAGTCTGAGCATTCAGAAGACCTGGAATGACCCTTCCAGGTGACAGATGAGCCACTTCAAGTCCAGAGTGTTCAAGGGGACATCCCAACTGACACCAGCGTGAGGTCCCTGACCTGGAGCAGCCCTTGGAGAGGGACGCTCTGCCTGCCAGCTTCTCATTTCCCCTGTCTGATGTCTGGTTTATCCTATGCAAGTCGGATCACTCTTTACTGGTGACAGAGTTCAGCCCTACATCAGTGCACCGAGGAGGCAGGCTTGATTGCAAATGACTTTATAGTTTTTATTTTTAACTGGCACATAAAACTGTCCATATTTATGGGATGACATGTGATATTTCAATGCATGTACACAATGTGATGTTCAAATCAGGATAAAAATAGCTATCTGCAAACATTTAACATTTTCTTATGGCAAAAAAAAATTCAAAATCCTTCTAGTTTTTTTTAGAAAAATATACCATTTGCTGTCATTATTTATAGTCATCCTACTGTGCAGAACATCAGAACTTATTCCTATCTGTGACTTAGCGTCCATTCATCCACCTCTCCACATGGGCAAGACCTCTCATCCCCATACTTGCCTCTTGTCTAAATAACAACACTGTTGTATTATTAACTTCTGTGAGATCATTTTTTTAAGGTTTCTTTTTCATTTGTTTGAAAGGCAGTTCATTTGCTTCACCCCCCAAATGACCACAACGGCCAGGGCTGGGCCGGGCCAAACCCAGAAGCTGTCCCATGTGGGTGCAAGGCTCAAGCATTTGTGCCAACCTCTGCTGTTTTCCCAGGCACATTAGCAGGGAGCTGGATCAGCAGTAGAACAGCCTAGACTCAAGCTGGATCCCATCTAGGATGCTGGCATTGCAGGTAGATAAAATTTGCAAGACTGCACATGAGTGAAATTGTGCTATATTTGCCTTCTGTGCTGGTCTTATTTCATATAACATGATGACCTCCAGTTCCCATTGTTGGAAATGACAAGAGCGCATCCCACTTCTGGCTGAGTAGTATTCCACGGTGCGCGTGTTGAAGGACACTTTGGCTGTCTATACTTCCAGGCTCCTGTAAAGCGTGCTGCAGTAAACATGGCTGTACACGTCTCCTTGGTAGAAAGCATTCCTTTCTCCTGGATGTGTCCCCAGGAGCGGGTCTATAGGAACACGTGTTAGACCCCTCAGAAAGCTCCACACCCACGGCGACAGGGCTGTCCTCATTTGCATTACCACCAGCAGTGCCAGGGTTTCCTCCAGCCTTCCCAGCTCTGCTTTATCTTTCTGATAAAAACCCATTCGGCTGGAGTGAGATATCTCTCAGTGTGGTTTGGCTTGCATTTCCCTGGCTGACTAGAGATGTTAGGTTAATATATGTTTTTTTTTAATTATTTTTATTTGAGAAGGCAGATTTACAGAGAGGAGAGACAGAGAGGAAGATCCTCCATTTGCTGGTTCACTCCTCAGTTGGCTATGATTGTTAAAGCTAAGCCAATCAGAAGCCAGGAGCTTCTTCCAGGTCTCCCATGTGGGTGCAGGGTCCCAAGGTTTTGGGCCATCCTCTGCTGCTTCCTCAGGCCACAAGCAGGGAGCTGGATGGGAAGTGAAGCCCGTATGGGATCCTGGTGCTTGCAAGGCAAGGATTTAGCCACTAAGCCACGGTGCCGGGCTCTACCCATTTTCTAGTTGGATGATTAGGGAGTATTGGCTGCTGAGTTCTTACATACTCACATGCTTGGATTTCAAAATTTGATTGCATCAGGGCCAGTGCTATGATGCAACAAGTTAAGCCGCTGTCTGTAGTGCTGGCATCCCATGCCAGAGCACCAATAAAAGTCCTTGCTGCTTTGCTTCTGCTCCATCTCCTTATTTATGCACCTGGAAAGACAGCAGCAAATAGCCCAGATCCTTGGGCCCCTACCATTCATATGGGAGATTTGGTTAGAGTTCCTGGCTCCTGATTTTAACCTGTTCCAACTCTGGCTGTTATGGTCATTTGGGAAATTAGGATGTGAGGGCGATCTGGCTGCGACATCTGTCACCCCATTGATCACCAGGGTTGATTTGGCTGATCTGGCTGGCTAGGCAGGTGTCCCCTTCCTCCCTCACTGCTCCATGTGTGTCCCTCCCAAAGCTGCGTGCTTGGTTGAAGAGGACGACCATCCCCGCTGGAGGAGGACCGGTCTTCGGTCAAGGGTATACGAGTAGCTGCGCTCCCATGCTAGAACCTCCAAACAAGCTCTCAAGGTCCATTTGGGAAATTAGCCAGCAGATGGAGGATCTCTGTCTCTCCCCCTTTCTGTAACTCTTTCAAATGAATCTTTAAAAGTTATTTTTTTTTAACTAAAATAACAGATTGTTTGATTCCATTTTCCACCCGTTTTTGTGAAATACTGCACACACTGTTCATTAACCTGTAGCAGTCATTGACCACAGCTTGACAATGCTTCCTCCCATTCCATAGGCTGTATCTTCTCTGTTGATGCAAAAGATGTTTTGTGGGCACAGAATTCTGGGACTGGAAGGAGGTCCTGGGGAAGCCAGGGCTCTGTGCCTTTCCAGAAGGCGTGTGCACTCACTACCCCTCCCTGACCCCGGGCTGTGCCTTTCTGAATGCAGGCAAAGCACATAGTACCCCTGAAGGCCCTTCTGGAACCCCTCGGTCCCACAATACAAGTCTGCACACTGGACAGCATGCCTTGGCACAGGCTGGCTGTGTTTGCAGTTATATTGTCTATCACATCAGCAGGTTTTCAGTTGACGCTGATCAAGAACTAAAGAAGGAAACCAAAACAACTGAAACACACTGTTAGACTTCATTTCTAGCCTTGCTCTGGGTGTCCTCGTTTATATTCATAAGTAAGATTGTTTCAGCTCTTCCTTTTACTTTCCTGGTCTGCTTTGAGAACCAAGGTCATCTGGCACTTTGGGTGGATTTCCTCCCTCTTTCTGCCCTTTCAGATTCTTTGACGGAAAATGAAATTGTCACGGGCTCTGGAGTGTATGAAAGCACACCCCCAGCGTCTGCCAGCTTGGCAGGGGACTTGGGACAGTCAGCAGACAGACACTTCTTCCCTTGTTGATCGTCTGCGTTGGCTTATTTATGGTGCTTTGGTTGTTTCTGGGCCAGTGCTGTTGGGGGCCAGCAATTTGCCTAAGGAAGTAGGAATGAGGATGAGGGAAATGCTGGGCAGGACAGAGGCATGGCGGGGCAGGGGTGGGTGGCAGAGGGAGCCCTGTGCCTGGGGCCCCAGCACCTGTTATGGCCACCCCGGGGCCCTGGACCGAAGCTGAGCCTGAGCTTCATGTTCCACAGGCATCATGTTCCGCAAGAAGAAGAAGAAACGCCCCGAGATCTCGGCCCCGCAAAACTTCCAGCACCGCGTCCACACCTCCTTTGACCCCAAGGAGGGCAAGTTTGTGGGCCTCCCCCCACAATGGCAAAACATCCTGGACACGTTGCGGCGCCCCAAGCCCGTGGTGGACCCTTCACGCATCACACGAGTGCAGCTGCAGCCCATGAAGGTTAGGGGGACGGCAGGGATGATGGGATGGGGGCATTGCCGAAGTTAGCCCCACAGGAAAGGAAGACACCAATCAGCCTGTGACCCAGGGAGGTGACGGGCAGCCTGGGGTCGCTCTTTAGGGAGTGTTGGGGTGAATAGACTTCAACCAGTAACAACACAAGATGTCCAGCTGAACGTGGACTTCAGATAGCAAGGTGTCATCTTTCAGCCAAAGTATGTCCTGTGCAGGCCTGGAGGACCTCTCACAGACCAGGGCACTTTAGTTGTTGGGGTTGAGCCAAAGACTTGCTAGCAGTTGGGGCCTAGGGCCCTATCAGGGAAGTCGCGAGGCCTCCCTGTGTGAGGAGCACACCCTGACCTGGTCTCTGCAAATCTTTCTGAAGGCCACAGGTAAAGCTGGCAAATGGGGCTCCCCCCAGCCCACCTCCCAGCACTGCTCAACTCCCCAGGGTCATCTAGCACTGCCACTTGGAATGCTGGGCGATAACTCCATCTGGCCTGCTGTGTCTGTCCTGAACCCACACAGGCCTACCCCTTTCCAGACCCTGGTAAATTAACAAACGTGTAGGTCATTGCCATCCCCACTGCCCCCTAGGAGGCTCTGCCGCCCTGGGCCAGCCCTCTGACCTCATTTCTTCTCCTGCCGGCAGACCGTGGTACGAGGCAGTTCAGTGCCCACTGATGGCTACATCTCAGGGCTGCTCAGCGACATCCAGAAATTGTCGGTCATCAGCTCCAACACCTTGCGTGGTCGCAGCCCTGCCAGCCGGCGACGTGCGCAGTCCCTGGGGCTGCTGGGAGATGACCACTGGGCCACTGACCCAGACATGTACCTCCAAAGCCCGCAGTCAGAACACACCGACCCCCAGGGCCTCTACCTCAGCTGCAACGGGGGCACGCCAGTAGGCCACGGGCAGGGGCCCTGGCCTGAGCCACAGAGCCCACGCCTCCTGCCTAACGGGCTGGCAGCCAAGGCACAGTCTCTGGGCCCTGTCGAGTTCCACGGTGTCTCACAGCGCTGCCTGCAGCTGGGTGCCTGCCTACAGAGTTCCCCACCCAGCACCTCACCCCCAAGTGGTCCCGGCAGGCGTGGGGTGAAGGCCGCCAAGCAAGGCACTGCCGCTGCTGCTGCCACTGCCGCTGCCACTGCCACCGCTGAAGAGGCCCGGCCCCAGTCCTGCCTGGTAGGCTCAACCACGGGTAGGCCGGGAGGCGAAGGCAGCCCGAGCCCCAAGACCCAGGAGAGTAGTCTGAAGCGCCGGCTGTTCCGAAGCATGTTCCTGTCCACACCTGCCTCGGCCCCTCCAAGCAGCGGCAAGCCAGGCCCTCCATCACAGAGCAAGGTAGGGATGGCTGGTGGGGTGGTCTGAGGAGGGCAGGAACCTGACCTGGCGGGTGTCCAACGCAGTATGTCAGGGCCCCCGGGCCATTTACAGGGTGGGGAGAAGGTGAGGAACTGAAATGTTGGCCAGAACCCAGCTCAGCCTCAGCTGAAGCATCCACCCTGAACCAGCCCAAGGCCAAGCACATATGAATCTTGGGCTGCAAGCCTGGCCACCTCAAGGGACTAGATCCAGAGCTGGCTTTCTGCTGCTCTCTAGGCTTCTTGGGCCTTCTCACTGGGGCTCAGGCTTACAGGACACATCCAAGTGTACCACCTTACACCTCCCTCCTAGGGGCCTTGAGTGCCAGCCTGGGTCCTCCCTCAATATGGTTGAGGCAGGTGGGATCCAGCTTTGGGGAAGGGGTGGTCTGGACCTACAGGTTCACCAGGTCCCCACCAGCTGAGCCATCTAGGGACACTGCCAGGTTTCATGCACCTGAGCCATTCACTGAGATGGAGAGAATGGGGAGGGGACAGAGCACAGATGTGGCTTGAGGTGTCCATGTGCCAAACATGAGCATCTGTGAGATGAGGGGTCTGTGGAAGGCTCTGTCCTGGAGGAAGGCATCCCCTTGGAAAGCCAAGGTGGCCACAGACACTGCTTTCCTCCAGAGTGGCGAGAGCTGCTTCCTGAGCCCCCCTGGATATTTAAAGTCCTTCTGAGGGTGGGAAAGGGGCTGTTGACCTTAAGCTGGGAGCTGATGTATATCTTCCTGAACTCTATGACACCACTTGGCTTAGGGTCAGGCCTCAGTGCCTAGCCTCTGCCCTCCTGTCCTTCCCCTAACGCAAGAATGGGGGTGGGCCACTGCTGCTGGCTGTTGCTGTGTGCCCCTGTGCTGGACGTGGCAGGTGGCAATGGTCCTGGGCTCAGGGACCCTGCTGGTCCTCATCCAGGACAGTGTTGTCCTTTTGGGCAGCCTGAACACACCTTTCCAGATGCCTGCCTTGAGCCAGTCCCTAAAAGGGCAGGGGTCCCCAGCCTCCACTCAGTGGGCATTGCCGTGAGATGCCATAGCTTGCCTGGCTTCCAGCCCCAGGGTCAATGCTAGTACCTAGCCAGAACTCCTTCATACATGACTAAATGTCTCTGGTCGGGGGTGGGGAAGGGGAGGTTGGTAAACTCTCAGTGAAGAATTGTTGCTTTGGTCCAAAACTAACACAGTTAGGGCATACCAGCTTCTTCTTCCCTCGGAGTCCAGAGAGTAGCGTGTGCCCCAGAATGGCCCCAGACACTCACAGCTGCTCCCACAAGGGCTGTCCATGCAGTCAGGCCAGTGCTGCGGTGCTCAGACAGCTGTAGAGGTTGCAGGTGAAGGCCCTACATCTCCTGGGCTCAGACCCAGCAGTGTGACTCCAAGTTACTTACTGTGGCTGATGAGCACAGGAGGATAAGGACAGGGAGTAGGGGCAGGGAGGCCAAGGAAGTAGGATTGGTTGTTGGGTGCTTGGGAATTGAGAAATGAGTCCACGCAGAATCAGAAGGGGAAACCTTGGCGAGGCAGCTGCTCAGAATGAAATATTCTGTCATATGCCGAAGAAAGATGGCACCAGGACGACCACATTACAGGGCTGTAGGTTAGGCTCACAGGTGTTGAGGTCTGGCTGTGGCCCTAGCTACTACACTGGGAGTAGTAGCTTCCCTGGCCTCCCAGGAAGCCATTTGCTTATAAAACTGCAGATACCACAGTCCCTGCCCACAGGGCTGGGAGGAGTCTTAAGGCGCAAGCCCTGGGTCCATGGCCTGGTGATTCTGACAGTATTAGAACTTGGTCTCTGCCCTTTGGACCTTCGTGGTGCAACTGGGAGCCTGGGCCCCATTGCAACTACACAGGACTCTGCTAGCGGCTTCCTTCTCCCAAGGTCCCCATCATACAGCTGTCATCTACCACCAGCTCAAATGGCTGTGCTCAGAAGGTGGGTGCCCTGACAGGGTAGAGTAAACCCTGCCCTCGGCCCTCCAAGGCCAGCCACATGGTAGGCTCCTCCATGGCCACACTCTCTGGACCCACAGGCCATTCACCTAGGGGCCTGCCACCTCACTGAAATGCAGTCTTATCTCCAAGAACTTCCAGAGGCTGCCCACCTCCACCCCAAGGTTGTTGCTGATGGAGCTCCTCTGCACTGCCTTGGTTTATCCTTGCTAACCTAGGAGGCTGGGCTCAGGGTGCCGAAGGCACATGGCAGGGTAGAGCAGAGCAGACCACCACCCAGCCCAAAGACCCCACAGCTCCATCAAACAGAGGACAGTGGATGAGGATCCAGTGCCAGCCAAGACTTGGGAGAACACTGACTAGGACCGATGTGCTCTCTAGGGGCACAACAGTCCTAGGAGGCTCCTGGCCCCAACTCCCTTACATGTGCCAGCAGCACAAGTCTGCCGGGCCAGGGACTGGCTGGGGAGTGGAGCCCTGAAGCCTGGGCTGGGTGTGCTGGAGGGCTTGGAAGGCAGCCCTATGGAGCTGACCTCAGTTGACTACATGAGCCATCCTCCTAATCAGTTCTGCCCTGAGGTGAAACCCAGGAGCCCTGGGCCCCTTTACCACCGCTTGGACGTCCCTCTCCAGGCACCCTTTGAAATGCCTGCTCTGCAGAGGGCTGGAAGGTCATGTTGCATAAGATCAGATATGGAAGAAGCTAGGGGCCAACTCTGGCTCCAGCTCTGTCCAGAGTGGAAGGAGGACTCTGGCTTAGGCCCCTGCTGCAGCCCCCCTGTCCTAGTGGTACCAGTAGAGACCCAATCCACTGTCCAGGGCTGCCTATCCACTGTGGCCCTGAGTCAGGCCTGGGAGCTGGGGAGGGAGGAGCACTCTGCCCCAACTCCAGCCAGCCACTAGGAGGAAAGACTGGGCCCATGGAACCTCCCTGGGGCCTGGCTGTTAAGTCACCCGGGAAGACATGCCCAGCATGGGGACATCCAGGGACCCTGCTGCCTCTGTGTTGCCAAGGATAGCAGAGCAGGTGCAAAGAGCTGGGAGCCAGTGGTGGGGTCCCCAGGTCCATTTGTTAAGCTCTGCTTTCCAACTCCAGGGCAGTGCCTCACATAGGTCACAGGGCCATCCCTGCTGTGGGAGGGTTGCTGCATGACATCCCACAGCCACGCGCCTTCCCATGTCTTGCTTTGTCCCCACAGCCCAGCTCCTCCTTCCGACAGCTGCAGAAAGACTCCCTGCCAAGCCTGGTGGCCAAGGCCCAGTCTTTGCCTTCGGACCAGCCCACAGGGACCTTCAGTCCTCTGCCTCCTTCGGACACCAGCAGCCCCCAGAAGTCCCTGGGTACTGGCCCACTGCCCGGCCGCTCTTCCCCAGCTGGCTCCCCCCGGACCCGGCATGCTCAAATCAGCACCAGCAACCTGTACCTGCCCCAGGACCCCACGGTGGCTAAGGGTGCCCTGGCCGGTGAGGAAACAGGTGTGGTGACCCATGAACAGTTCAAGGCTGCGCTCAGGATGGTGGTGGACCAGGGTGATCCCCGGCTGCTGCTGGATAGCTATGTGAAGATCGGCGAGGGCTCCACTGGCATTGTGTGCCTGGCCCGCGAGAAGCACTCGGGCCGCCAGGTGGCCGTCAAGATGATGGACCTCAGGAAGCAGCAGCGCCGGGAGCTGCTGTTTAATGAGGTGGGCAGAGGGGGACAGGGGGTGAGGACGGGAGAGAGAAGTGAGGGCACTGTCGGGCTGGCCCACCTGCAAACAGGGGCAGCTGGGAGGGGGAAGGGCCAGAACTGGGGAGGGCACTGAACCCCGCTCCTTGCTGCCCACAGGTGGTGATCATGCGAGACTACCAGCACCTCAATGTGGTGGAGATGTACAAAAGCTACCTGGTGGGAGAGGAGCTGTGGGTGCTAATGGAGTTCCTGCAGGGCGGGGCCCTCACAGACATCATCTCCCAAGTCAGGTGGGCAACCACAGGGACCTGGGCCCTGGCAGGGAGAAGGGAAGGACCAAGCAGCCTTTGGGGACCTGGGCTCCCCGACTGTAACTGAGTTCCAGAGGTCTCAGGAGAGTGGGGAAGAGAAAAGCCAGCTTCACCCTAGTTGCTGGCTCAGTTTCCACTTGCCACAGCTAGGTCACCCCTCCACACCCTGCTCTGCCAACAAGGGATTGCCTGGGCAAGGGCAGCCTGTGGGGCCCCTGTCCTGCTCAGCCCTGCAGCCCTGCCACCACAGTAACACCCGTGCCCCAACCAGGCTGAACGAGGAGCAGATCGCCACTGTGTGCGAGGCTGTGTTGCAGGCGCTGGCTTACCTGCACGCGCAGGGTGTCATCCACCGGGACATCAAGAGCGACTCTATCCTGTTGACACTCGACGGCAGGGTAGGCCACCCCTGCCACCATACCCACACACCCAGCTGCTGCTCCGTGCCCACTCCCTGTGCTCCTCCTCCTGCAGCTGCCTCCCCACCCACTCCCCTCTCATCCCCAGGTGAAGCTCTCCGACTTTGGCTTCTGTGCCCAGATCAGCAAAGATGTCCCCAAGAGGAAGTCCCTGGTGGGCACCCCCTACTGGATGGCTCCGGAAGTGATCTCCAGGACCCTGTATGCCACCGAGGTAACCATCTCCTCCACCCAAACCCCACCTGGGCCTCCCCAGAACTGTGGGAACAGGAAGTTCTGCTTGGTCCCCGCCTCGCCCCCACCACCCACCCTTGCACCTTAACTGATGAGGCTTCCTCTTGTTACTTTGTGGCCAGCCTTCCACACCTGTGCTGACCTCTCAGCCAGCGGCATACAGCTGTGTCCCTACAGTTCATGGTGGCTCATGCAGGAGGTAACTGACCACTAGGCAGTTAATCAGGGAGACAGGAGAGTCACCGAGAGCTCTCCCCTCCTGCCAGCACACGGCTCCCTGGGCAGAGGACAGGAGGTAGGAACAATGTCCTTCTGCAGGTGGACGTCTGGTCACTGGGCATCATGGTGATCGAGATGGTGGATGGGGAGCCGCCCTACTTCAGCGACTCCCCAGTGCAGGCCATGAAGAGGCTCCGGGACAACCCCCCACCCAAGCTGAGAAACTCGCACAAGGTCAGTCGGGGCCCAAGGCATGACCCGCACCCCTCGGAACTCCTGGGATGAAGGGACCAGCCAGAGCCGAGCTGCAGGCCAGTCCCAGCTCCTGACTCCCACAACAGCTCTTGAAGAAGGTTCCTCTTTGTGCAAAAACCCACACCTGGGCATGGGGAGGAGGCCACATTTGTGCACCAGCTCCCAGGTTCATAGATTCCCCACCTGACTACAGCCCTAGAGGCTGGGAGTGTGTGTGTGGGGGTGGGGGAGTAGTAAGGGTGGACCTGCCTGGGGGGCTTGGGACCAAGCCCCCCCCCCCGGCCAAGTCTCAGGGAGTCTGACCCTATACCTCATTCATTTGCCAGGGGATCCGGCTGTCCTGACCACAGCAGAGCCTCTCTTTCCTCTAGAGCTGGCACATCTGTCTGTGTAAATGAGTAACCCTTTCTTGTCAAGTCCATCCCTCGCAGCCCCGGTGGTGATTTAACACAAGACTTCTAGGTGGCCCTGCCATCTGGTGGTCAGAACTAGAAATATCTCAGGGAGTTGGGACCCAGTCCTTCAGTGGCCACAGGTTTAGGATTCAACGATGCACAGGAACCATCCTGTAAGACTCCTGATGCTGGGGCTAACCTGGAGATGAGCAGACAGAGAAGGTCTCTAGATGGCTAATTCTCTAGAGGGCACAGCCTTCTGCAACCAGCCCGGGTGCTTAGCCCCTGCTTTTGACACTAAGGCTAAGAGCAACAAGGACATCTTCCTTCTCAGATTCTACCTTGTTATTTTCTTTCTTTTTTATAAAGCCCTTCATCACTCACCTCTTTTAGGGGGTGGTTCTCATTCAAGTCTTGTGTGACAGGGCAAGCACACCTAATCATGAGGCCATTTTACGGAGGAGGAAACAGTCCTACAGAAAATTGCAACTTACCCTTGACCAAAGGTGGACCCAGGACTGGATCCCTGACACCAGCCCCTCGTGCCTCCCGCACAGCCAGAGACTGGGCACCCAGGGCCTGGAGAGAGGGAAGGACCACTCTCCTTCACCCCACCCCCTCACTGGTTCCAGGCATCCTAGTTCATTGCTTGGCAACTCTGATCACAGGAGAACTGGTCACCTCCTGACCTGAGGGCTCCCACCTTTACCAGCCTGACCCTCCAGCATGTGCTGAGCCTGGCAGGAGCCAGAAGCATGATTAACCCCAAAGACGTCCTCTCGTCTCCTTCTCCCCAAAGGTCTCCCCAGTGCTGCGAGACTTCCTGGAGCGGATGCTGGTGCGGGACCCCCAGGAGCGAGCCACAGCCCAGGAGCTCCTGGACCACCCCTTCCTGCTGCAGACAGGGATGCCGGAGTGCCTGGTGCCCCTGATCCAGCTCTACCGCAAGCAGACCTCAGCCTGCTGAGCCCACCTCCACGGTGCACCTGCCACGCGTGCCCACTCTCAGTATTCTCTCCAAAGATTGAATGTGAACCCCCACCCCAATTCCCCTGCCCCTCTGCCCACTGGGCCAGGCCGGACCTGCCCCCTTGGTCTCTCTCCCTCCCCAGAGTCCCCTGTTGCTTTTGGGGGTGATTGAGACTCCTGCAGGACACCCTTGATTATTTGCACAGGGAAATTTCTAAGAAACAGAGAGACCGGCGCTCCAGGCTGCTGCAGCTGGCACAGCAGGCAAGGTTTTTTTTTTTTTAAAGGAGTCGTACACTAGCTCGCAGGCCATCTTCATGCGGAGGATGGTTGTTCTCACTCTAGAGTTCAGCTCCACGGTCTCAGGGGCCACAGGGAGGACTGTCAGCCACTGCACCCTTCTGCCTCCCATGTGTCTGACTTCCCACCTGCACAGCCTGCTGAGAGGCCCTGGGAAGGGCTGGGGCGGAGCAGGAGAGACAAGCTGTGACTGGGCAGAGTGGTGTGACTTCCCAGAGAGAGGACGTGTGAGAGGAGAGCAGTCTCTCCACGAGCCTGGGTCCCTTCTGGTCCCTCACAGCCAGCAGCAGGAGGACTGCCCCATCCTACAACACAGCCTTTTTCCTTGGCCTGGCTTCCCACCTTTCCCTGGCCCCGGGGGCAGGGGAGATCCTCTGAGCTGTTCCCATACCAAGCAGGAACAGGAAGGGGATGCTCGCTCGGTCCTTCCCGTGTCCTTGGTCTCAGTCACCAGGTCATCAGGGACCCCTTCTCAGCAGAGCCCTGGTCTGGGGGAGACAGACTGCTCCCCAGAGTCCGTCCAGTCAGCGGGAGCCACCTGCCTCCTGGCCTCCTTGCTTCCTCTCCTTCAGGGCTCTTGTGAGACAGGGAATTCCAGGGAAGAACTTCCGGCATCTGGGCATCTGGACCCTACCTAGATAATATTTTTAGATTCCTCTGCTCCCTATAGTGGCCTGCAAGGACATTTGCAAGGACTTTTTTTTCCTAGGGTCAGAGTTTTAAAAAAACAAAAAACAAACAACAACAAAAAAAGCATCTTCCCTAGAAATTTTTGTGACTTGTTTGCACTTGTGCCCGTTTTAAATTAAACTTGAGTGTTCAGAACTTCTGGGCTTCCTGTTGCCTCTGAGATGGGAGCCTGGCTGCCGGGAAGAGGCGTCTGCTATGGCCCCCACCTCCTGCCATGTGACTTCCCAGTAACGTGAGGGCAGAGCAGGGACACAGGAAGTGAAAGGACTGAAGGAGCTCCTGGGGGCTGGGGAGCTGAGGGAAAGCCAGGGCCCAAGGCGGTCTTGCTGCAGCCTTGGGGGCTCCTGGTGGCTTCCTACATCAGCTTCTCCCTTCCTCAGCCTGCTTCTCACTCCCTGGGTTCCAAGGTGTCCAGAGCAGTTGCAGGCCTGACATGGTTCCCAGAAAACAAGCAGTCCCCACCTGGGCACATGCTCTGAGCCGAGGGAGACGGCGTGGAGGTGGGCAAGAGCTGAGCAAGGGCCCAAAGTGCAGAAACTGGGGTTCTAAGATGGTGGGGTGGGGTGGGGTACAGTGTTAAATGCAGTTATTCTTCCACTTTAGCCCCAGCACCAATTCCAGAACTTTCATTCCAGAAGCCCCAGGGTTCTCGGACACCTCTTACAGTTCAGGGCCACCTCAACTCCTGCCCCCGTGCTGCGGTGCCAGGTCCTGTGCCTCAGTGAGAAGCAGTGACTAGGACTCAATCCTGGGAAGGAGGCTGGGCAGGGGTCTACCCGGGAAGGGAGGCGTTGGGAAGCCAGGGCACCCGTCCACGTCTCCCCCAAGGCAAAGAGAGGCTGGGGCTCACAGGGGATAGTGCTGAGTTTATTAACTCCTCTAAGCCCTCCTGCCACACAGGGTCCTTCCGAGAGGGGGTGAGTACATCTTTAGTCCACGCTGGAGCTTAAAGCGCTGAGCTCCGGCCAACCCCACAACTACGAAAGCAAAAGCGACAGGGATCCGACCGGAGAGGAGGCATCTTCTTCCTACAGTACACAGAACGAGAGAGGGCCCCAAGCTCCATGCCGGGGTGTGGGGGTGGCGTACCACCAGCTGTGCGGTGAGTGCCTGGCCAGGGTGGAAGGGCGGGCAGCAAGGTGGGCAGTAGACACACAGTTCCACTCCAAGGAGAGACATCCACGGTGCAGGGAGGCGCACAGCTGGCCACAGCCAAGCCCTCGGCTGTGCCATAGAGAAGCCCTCCCCGAGGTGGACCCAATGGAGAGGGTCCCCAGGGACAGTGAACCACAAAGCCGTGTCAGAGACCGGTGTGAGGACGGTTCTTCCAGTATGGCCTGTGACTCAGACCTACAGCTGTCAAGCCAAAATACATTGTCTTCTTACACCATTATAAAACCTCATCGTGAGACATGGTTAAAAATGAGCCAAGGGATCAAGCACGGATCAGAAGCCGTTTGCACTGTAGCGTAGAGAATGTGTGCCCAGGTCCTGCCCCCTGGATTTTCTCCCACCACCCAGACACAAGGAGGAGAGGACAGACTAGCTAAGAAAATAAAAAAAAAAAAAAAATCAGGAAAGCAGGTCTTGGGGCTGGGAAGTCATGACGGAAGGGCTGATAGCCCCAGGTTTCTGGCGGAGAGCTGAGCGAGGAGCAGAGATTGCGACAGGGAGCCTCCGCGTGTTAGATGAAACTGGGAATCCTGGATCCGTGGTGACGGTCTGGGCTCCCACTCCTTTCCCAAAAAAATTTTTGGCTCACCGTCTCTCACTTCATGCTACGAAGTGACTTCAAGTATCAGGATTTAATATTCGACAAGAGGAAGAAAATGCCATGGCCGACTGAAGGCGCCTGGACCAAGCACGCCGCGGCCATCCCGGATGCAACTAGAGGCACCTGGCTTCCCAGCCCGGGGCGGCGGCGAAGCGCGCGGCCACCACGAGGGGGCACCAGAGATCGCGGCCAGCTCGCTGGCCACGGGCGGCGACCTCCTCGCGGGCCACGGGCGGCGGCCTCCTCGCGGGCCACGGGCGGCGACCTCCTCGCGGGCCACGGGCGGCGGCCTCCTCGCGGGCCACGGGCGGCGGCGGCCTCGCGGGCCACGGGCTCCACCCGCCACCGGGCCCGTTCCCCGACCTCCCCCTGGAGGCCCCCAGGCCCAGTTCCTCCGTACAACCGCAGTTCCCTAGGAGTTCCTAGTCAGAAACCTTCCGTTCTGCAAAGCCGAGCCGAGCGAAGGCAGCGGTGTAGGCAGGTGAGGAGCCGCTCGTGCGCTCGGCCCTCGTGGTTCTCCAAACGCGCCCCACCTGCCGGCCCCGTGCCCCCGTGCGCCCTGCCGGCCTCCGTGCGCCCCCGCCGGCCCCGTGCCCCCGTGCCGGCCTCCGAGGCCCCGCCCCACTCGTCGCTGGCCCGGCGGGTGCGGAAAGTAGTTTCTCCACGGCCCCGCGGTGGCTGGAGACTCGCTAACTTTGCCGGGTTCCGAAGCCGGGCTGGTATGGGGTCCTGGGTTCCGACTTCCACAGCGCCTCGCGCGCATTCACGGCCCGCTGAGAAGCCGGGGGCCGCCGGGCGGGCTGCGGTAACAAACCCGGCCTGCAGCTCGTGTGGGCTTCTCGCGCGCCAGGCGCCGCCGCTCCACGGCAAACACTCGTCAATTATCCCCACCTCGCCGAACTGCTATTTAAAGATATATTGTCAGGTTCTCAAGCCTCGGATCAGACCCGCTGCTTGCTGCCTCGAGACAAAGACTCAGAACACGAGTTCTGGGGGAAGAAACACAATGAAGCCGCCGCCATTCCACCCCGCTGGAATGCCCACGCGCGAGGCGGGGAAGGCGTGTGCGGGCGGGAGGCAGGCCACGGAGCCACAAGGGGAGAAGGAACCACAACACCAGGGAACTGGCCAGCTCGGACGGAGCCTGGATAGGGGTTGCTGGCGAAGTAGAGGGAGCTAGAGTTACCCGAAAGCTGGTTCAAAGGGGCCTCAGGCACTCCCCAAATATATACTCTTTCCAATGTCTCTGCCATCTCTGAGGGCAAGGGATCCGGGGAACTCTGGCGTTGCGGTCGGCCCTAACTTGGTGGGGGTGGTAAGGAGGGAGACCCTTGGCGTCCCTGGCTGGGCTGGGCTGGGCTCCCCCAGGGAAGGGGACGAGGCAGGGGCCTGCACGAGCACCCAGGCAGACCCTGGACGGAGCCCCAGGGCTGAGGGGTGGGGCAGTCACCCTCCCAGCGGGAGCGAAGGTTGCAGTTTCTGGGATTAATTTCCAGGAACCAGAAAGGCAGAAGGAGAAAAGCTGAAAGATCTAGGCAAAGGAATACCAACGAGAAGGGGGGTGGGGAGGGGGGAGATGGAGAGGCCGGGTCCTGAGGGGGCTGACTGCGGAGAGAGTGCGGGACCTGTAAGAAAGGGGGACATCCCGGCGGAGCACGCGCGGGGCCAGGGAAGAGGGGGAGGGAGCAGGACTGGCGCCTCAGCGCTGTTTACCGCGGCGCGTGCAGCACCACGGCCTCGGTGCCAGCCTGCCAAACCTTCGACCCAGGCGCCGAGAGGGGCAGTGCGTTGGCCTCCAGCTCCGGGCCACTCTCAGGCCCAAGAGCATCCCCCACCAAGCTCGGGATGTCGGGAGCTGTGGAGCGGCGGCGCAAACCCAGGCGGGCAGAGCCGGGGCCTCCCTCCGGGTGGGGGCTGAGGCCAACGGGGGCTTGCACGGTGGCCCGGGACACTCCCTCCAGCACCTCGTGGGAGCGCCACCGCCCAGTCCCCGAAGCCTGCGGCGAGTTGGGACGCGCCAAGAGGGCTCCCGCCCGTAGACGCGCCGCCTCCTCCTCCGTCACGGCACCCAACGCCAGGCTCATGCTCCGACCCAGCTCAGGCCGCTCGCAGCCCTGCGCCCGGTGCCGGCCCGACGAGCCCTTGCCGCCCGAGCCGGCCTCGCCGCCGTGGCCATGGCCGTGACCGTGGCCGCCAGCCGCTCGTGCAAAGCGCGCAAGCAGAGGCCGCGGTAGGCGGCGGGGGCTGGGTCGTCGACGCTCGGGGCTGGGCGCCGGGGCCGGGCGGCCGGGAGGGCTGTCGGAGTTAGAGCCCCGCGCCGCGGCGGCGGCCGCAGCACGGCCCCAAGGCCCAGTAAGGGCCTGCACGCAGGTCCCGTGGCCGCGGGAGGCGGCCAGCTGCAGCGCGGTGAGGCCTGCACGGTTGGTGCGGTCGAGGCGCAGGCCAAGGCGGCGGAAGGAGCGCACCAGGAACTCGAGCACCGCCCCGTGGCCACACGCGGCCGCCCACATCACCGGGCTGTTGCCCGCCGAGTCGGTCGCCTCCGGGTCGCCGCTGAACTGCACCAGCAGCTGCACGGCGTCCAGGTGGCCTCGCTCGCACGCCAGGCTGAGGGCCGTGCGGCCACGCTCGTCCCGCAGGTTCACGGCTGCGCCCTGCTCGAGCAGCAGCCGCACGAAGCGCGCTCGCAGCGCGGGGTCCGGCAGCCCCACGGCCACCATGAGCGGCGTGCGGCCCTGCTCCGCGCGGCAGTCGATGATACTGCGGTCCAGCGCGTCCAGCACGAAGCGGGCCAAGTGCACTTTGCCCGCCTGCATGGCTTCCAAGAAGGTGCGCGTACCCGCTCGGGGGCACAGGTCCTTGGGCTTGAGCATGGTGGCCCGACAGCTCCGCACGGGGGCGCCCCTGGTCCCGTGCCCTGCAGAGGTCCCCCAAGGCCCGTGGGGCGAGCTCCGGACCGGCGCGCTTCGCCAGTGGGTGACGGCGGCCGAGGGTCCTCAGGATCCCGCCCGCTCTTGCCGCCCCGCCGCTCCTGGGTCGCAAGGTGTCTCGCTGCTCCTTCCCAGGGCCTCCCGCCCGCAGGTGTCGGCGGCTCGCTCCTCCCGGCACCGCTCCTGGCCCGCCACGGAACGACGGGAGCCGAAGCTGAGCCCCCTCCGGGGTCTCCCCGCGTCCTGCTGCCCTCAGGCCCTTGTGGTTGGGAGCCGCGCCACTCACCGGCACCCGGGACGGCCCCCGCTCTCCTGCTGAATCGGTGGTGGTGCCTGCCTCCAGCCCCGGAGGGGCGCGCCGCTCCTCAAGCTGCTGGCGCCGTTCCTCCGCCTCCTCCCCTCTCGCGGGGGCCGGGCCGCGCCGAGGCGCTGGCTCCTTACTTAGGGGACTCTGCGGCCAGGGAGCCGCCGCCCCGTCTGGGTCCCCGGCTTTGTAGCCTCGGGGGTCTCCATTGCAATAGTTGTCCTGGAATAGGCTGCGCCGTCAGAGCAGAGACGGACGCGGCGGGGGAGACCGCCCGTCCTGACCCCCACCACTCCGTGGGCCGCGAAGTCGGGGAGCGGCTCCTCCTCCGCGCTCTCCTGGGAATGCGGCGGCGGTTGCGGGGCGAGGGCGGGGGCTGCTCACTGGGGGGCCGCATGCACCCGACCCGGCCAATCCCAAAGTCGCTGTCTTGTCTCCCCGCCCTCCGCCTCCACCTAAGTCGGCTCCTTAGAAACTGGCGGGACCTCTGGCTCGTCGGGGAGAAGATGGAGAGCGGCCCCGAGCAGCCCACGGAGAAAGAAATGGGACACGCGCCCCTCCTCGAGATGATCTGGACGGTGGAGTTTGGGGTGGAGGCGAAAGACAGAAGACCAGCAGTAATTTGGGGACGGGGAGGCACCTGTGTTGCAGGCTGGAGGGTGGCGCTCAGTTGGACTGGGAACTGCCACTCGAAGTGCAGCGTTCACGCGCTCACTCGCAACTGTGCCTCCCGCACACGCTCCTGTGATAGCGAGGGTGGAAGAGGCAGTGCATGCTCCAATCTCAGACGTCTCCAACCCGAACAACGCACCGCCCGCGATCGGCTTCACGCCTGATGAGCAGTGGAAAGCGCAGACGCCGCCTCCCCGGTGCGCGAGTCTGTTGACACGCGAGGGCCGGTGGGTGCGCTGGCAACTCCCTGCCTGGCGCCACTGCCCCTCCCCTCAACAACTCCCTCGAGAGAGCGAGGGTGAAGAGCTCCACTCCCAGACCACAGAGCTCCCGCCCTGCCCACCAGCGGATTCCTTAGAAGAGGGCCCAGATTCCATCCCCCAGCTGCGCAGGAGAGAGGCAAAGGCAGGCCTGGGACTAGCAGGACTAGCCGGGCTGGGTGAGGTAGGGGGACTGGGAATGCTTATTTGTCACAGAAGTGAGCCAGGTAGCTCTGCACCTCCCAGCAGGGGGGAGTACTTAGAGCTGGCTTCCTGAGGGAGGGACAGTTCCCGCTCAGGTCACATCAGGCCCCCATGGAGGGGTAGAAGGGGCTGCGGCAGGACAGGGAGCAGGGCTCCCGGAAAGGGCCTTCAAAGTGCCAGACCTGGCTGCTAAGGAACAGAGTGGACATTCAAGGTTATGGAGGCCAAGGCTTGAAAACAACAACAGGAAACCGTGGGGGGCGTTCTTAGGGGTCCCCCTCCTGTAAAGAAACAGGAAATAAGGGGCCTGGCAGAGAAATGGTCACACACCAGGGCAAGGCAGGGGGCCAGGTGGGCTCAGACTGCAGATCTGCATAATGGACCTCTCACCTCTGTCCAGAGCCAAGCTCCAGAGCAGAGCTGCCCATCCTGGATGCCAGGCCAGGCCTGGGAGCAGGAAAACCTATCCCCTATGTCATGGGGGAGTGCATGTGAAGTAGGCTTGCACTCATGTGAAGTCCCTTCCTCTTGCATGAGTTCTGCACGGAGGCTCTGCCAGTGTTCTTTATGGTGTCCGGGAAAGGACACAGTCTGGAAGGCATTTACTAGCCTGGTGGCTCCCTACCTGCATATTGTCATCTGCGAATACCTGTCCTACCTGCGCCAGGCAGGCAAGATGAAGTGCAGGTGTCAACTGAAGAGCCACAGGTATTGAGAGTGTGGCCCAATCCCTTCCCCTTCCCTCCATCCAGTGAAGGCCCTACAGCCCTAGGTGGGGAGCAGGAAAGCTGTCCAACTTCTCATCACCAGCAGAGGCCTTTCTTCCTCTGGAATCTGGGTGTGGCCTGAGGCTGTGCACCCCCTGGTTGGAGAAGCTAAGCCACAGGCACCCAGGTGCTGAACACCTGCACCCCATCCTCCCCAGCCAGCTCAGCTTGTGCAGGCACAAAGTCTGGCAAGGGCGGGAGCTGGGGCAGGTGCCACTCTGACTTGGCAGAGCACAGAGTGCTGGGTCCCTCTGCCCAAGTTCCATGCCCTCCCCCCAGACCTTTGAGCAGAGAGGAGCTGCTGAGTCTCAGGAGCCGGAGCCCTTGCTTCAACTCCCTTGCTGACTCTGAACACGCGAGAGCAAAGCTGCAAAAAGTGGAGACTGCTGCAGAGCCCAGAGGCAGCCGCCACCGCCGGAATTAGAAGCAGTCGCTTAGGGAGCCAGGGCTGACAGGAGAGAGGAGACGGAGCTGAGGCAGAGGCAGAGGCAGAGGAGGGTAGGCAGGCGCCCCACACTCCTCCCCTCCCACCTGCCCAGCCTCTCCACCTTTGCTAGCAGGAGGGCTTCCTCCCAGGAGCGCCTCTGTCACTCTGTCCACACCTGCCCACACCCCTCTGGACCCCCTTCTTCCCTGCCCCAGTGTCACCAGCCCCCTCACTCTGTCACATTGCAGCAGCTTGACAAGGCCTAGCAGTGGCACGTGGCTGGAACAGGCAGAGACCTGGGGCTGGTGGGGGTGGGGGGGAGAGGCTGAGTCAGAAGGGTACTCTGGCCTCTGAGTCAGGAAGGGGATGGGACCCCGTTTTGGGGCACCAGAGGAGAAACTAAGACCCGGCAAACAGGAAGGGAATCTTGCACCAGTCCCAGAACAAGGCAGCAGGGCCAAAACCCAGGTGCCCTTCACCTGCTCCCAGGCCCCAAGAGACAGCTGGGCATATCCCAGCAGCCAGAAAATGAGTCATCTCCAGGGAGCCCCCAGGATTGCATCCCCTGTCCCACTCCGGATCTTCCCAGCTCCATATTGGGGGCAAGAGACTCAGCTTCCCTTCCCCTTGAGTGGCCATCAGCGCCAGCTGGGGGCTCTGCCCCTGAACTCTGGCTCACACCTGACATGCCTGCCTCTGCGAGTTCTGTGCCTAGAGCCTTCCCCTTATGGCTTCTACCCCCAGGGGCCAGGGGAGATGCAAAGATGGGGCAGCGGAATGCCTGGTTGGAGGGTGAAGGACTCTGCTCGGGGGCGGGGGGGGTGTAGGTGTCCACCCCAGCTGTGGCCAGTGCATGCCTGATCATTGCCAGGCCTGGGCCTGGGAACAAGCAGGCTCCCCAGCCTCACCTTGCAGCCAGTACACAGGCAGCATGCTAGTGACCAGGCCCCCTCAGGACCACAGTGTTTATTTCATCCTGTTGATTTTCCTAAGGCTCAGGTGCTCCTGGCTAATGGCACCTGCTGGAAGTCTCAGTTGGGAAAACCACCTCTTCCAGGAATTGAGCCCCACCCTGTCTCTCCCAGGGTCAATGCCAGGCCCCATTTGGGATGTGTGACCCTGCTGGAGAATATGGTGAATGGTTTTTTCTGAGAGAACAAGTCTGGGTTTGAGGGGGTACTGAGGAAGGGGAGCCTCCGACCATGCTGTCTCATCTCCCCCAGGGATTCAGGTGGGAGGCACTTTTGCTCTGGGCTCTTGTCCACCCCTGAGGGTCAAGAAAGGTCACATCAGGGAGCGAGGGACAAAGAGTGATGTCATTTTCCAATAGTGTAACATCAGGGCCAGTGTAAGGGGAAGTGAGTAGTAGGGCCACTTCTCTGGACTCCGGAAGGGGCACGTGACCAGTGGCGGTCTCGGTCGGGTTCAACTCCTAAGAGGATCTGCCCTGGCTGTCTGCTTCATGTCAAGAACATTCCACTCCCCTGCCCGCGGCCCCTAACCATAGAACAGAGGACAGCATAGGCAGGAAGGCTCGGGACAGGGTTCTTTAGTAGAAATTAAGGAGGAGACAAATAAATAAACCTCATAAATTCAGAAGGGAACATGATACTGCCCTTGTCAGGCAGCCTGAGTGGGTACATGCCAGCAAGTACCCACCCCCGGACCTAGGCACAAAGGTGAGACCCATACAGGGTGGTCCCTCCCTCCCTCCCTCACTACCAGCCACATTCCTCGCAGGCAGGAAGTGGCCTCCGCCTGGATCCCAGGAGGACAGGCGTCCCTGGCGAGCCTGGAGGTAGCTCAGGGCTCAGCCTCAAGGGACTGATCAGGAGGCGAACTCTGGGTGAGCCGGGCAGCTGCCCACTGTGGGGAGGAGGGTCCGGGGTTTGGCTCTCCCTGAACCACAGGTGCTAGAGTGGAGGTTCCAGGTGAGGAAGTAGTGGGCAGCATCACTGTACCCTAGAACAGGCATAATGGGGCAGCACTCCATGTCCCGCCTCTCAGTCCAGGTTCGTCTGCCCTTGAACACCATGTGACACTCATCTAGAGGTGGGGAGCTTCTTGGGGAGCAAGAACACAGCTTGAGGAAGATGTCCTGGTCCCTGCCCTGATCCCCGCTCCTTCTCTGACCTGGCTGCTGAGGAGGGGCTAGCCAAAGCACCCCCCAACATCCTCATCCTGTGGTCCGAGTGCTGGGGTGGGATACAGCCACAGCACCAGGCAGGGCCGAGCGTCCTGGCTAAGCATCCCGGAGGCAGTGGCATGTCAGAGGCGGCTCTCCTCGGCATCCTGGGCTGGGTGTGACT